ATGGATCATATATATATATATATATATATTGATACCAGGGATTCCTGCTGTGTTTAAAAGTTACTAGTGTATGTTAGGCTAGCTAATGTCCTAAAATCAGGCCATCAGCACCAAAGATGATCCGGTACAGACATTAGGGATAGGTGACTAATATATCTCCCTTCTCACTTGAACACAATCTCCCAAGCTGTAACTGACAAAGTGGCAGTATTATTCTCCTATACAGTATAGAAGGGAATGGTTTAAAATAAGGAGCTAATTCTTTCACTCAAACTTATTTAGTGTAGCCCAATATGCTTAGCAGTTGAATCTGAAACAATACTTTCTGCTATTTTACTTTGTTTTTAAACTTACAAATCAACAGAAAGCCCAACTCCCTCACACTAAGGTCATTGCCACAGTTATACCATTCAAACTTTCATTATTTAAATGTACCCTCAGCATTGATCTGAGGTTCAAACCGTTCCATTGTGACCGCTGACAAATCCTCAGGCTCGAGGCTCCAAACGCCAACTCCTTCTGCAGCCCCTGCTGCCATGGCGGCACCCAATGCAGTGGTTTCTGGCATGGAGGGCTTCACTGAGGGGAAAAAGTTCCATCAGCAACTCTGTAGTTCTCTCTGCCTAAAGAAAAGTTCTTCCAAAAGAAATACTCCCAGAGTTAAAGGAATGAAGGCTTACTAACCCACTGGAATATACAGAATGTCTGCTTGTAGCTGCATCAGAATTTTATTGCTGGTCATTCCTCCATCCACCTGCAAATGACTGAGTGGAATTCCACAGTCCCGATTCATGGCATCCAAAATCTAACATAAATCGATGCAATTAATATAATGAAACTACTTCATAGTAGCATCTCTAAAATGGCAATCCTCAACTGAAAAACCCTAAAGAACTCCCCAGTGCCTACAGAATAAAATAAAACATCTTATTCCAAGCCCTGTAGGATCTGGTTACAATCAATGTTTACTCTCAGAACTCTGCAATCAGCCCGAATTTCAGCAAGCCAAACAACTGTACTGCACCCTAGTTTCCTGCCTTCATGCCTATCCTTGTGCTGTTTCTTTTTCCTAATGTACTTGGCCTTCCCAGTGCCCAGCAGTTAACTGGTACTTAGAAAGTGGTAACAGCTGCAAAGAGAGGGCTAGGTGTGTGCTTATGTTTAACGTTTACATGGGCTTCATTTTTTACTAAGAATTCTTTTAAGTTTTTAATGAATTTCAGGCACTAATATATGATTTACAAGTGAAAAAAGGGAATTAAGTTGCCTGCCTGCCAGGCGCAAGGTCTTGAATTCTATCCTCAGTAATGAAAAAAAAAAAGAAAGGTGAATTAAGTGCATGATAACAGATATTACCTCTCGAGTTTGGAAACAAACAGCTTCTAACGCAGCAAAAGCAATATGGCATTTATTGGTGAATTGAGTAAGTCCACAGATTATCCTAAAAATACACATAACAATTTCAAATTGGAATAGTACAAATGAGCCATTGATCTGAAATGTCCTGACAATGGAATGGGTGAATCTGGGAGACAGAAAGGTACATGGAAAGAAAATTGGACATAATCACTAAGGAACTGGAAAATCCTTATAGTCCTTATTCCTGCATCCAGATATGGAAAAGTTCATGATTCATCTGGATAGATAACAGTAATGTAAAAGTGAACCAGTGTTACTCATTTAGATGAAATCCCTTTGCTACACTGTACAACTTGCAGATGATTTTTAAAACAAATGGCAATGACATTATCACAGGTATGGATGTGGTGGGTACTACTGTCTGATGATTTATAACTTCTTGGAGCTTAAAGACTAAAATTAGAGTCCACTATTACCACTCCTGTTCTATATGGTTCAGGAAACATTGGCCACAACAATTACACAAGAGAAAGAAATAAAAGGAATAAAGATAGGAAAAGAAGTTAAAATGTCACTATTTGCTGATGACATGATACTCTACATAGAAGACCCCAAAAAACTCTGCTAAAAATCTTCTAGACTTAATTCAAAGATTCAGTAGATTCAGTAACTGGATACAAGGTCAACACTCAAAAATCAATAGCCTTTCTGTACACAAATAACAGGCTCACTAAGAGAGAAATTAGGGAAACAATTCCTTTTACAATAGCATCCAAAAAAATGAAATATCTAGGAATCAATCTAGCCAAGGAAGTAAAAGACCTTGAAAATTATAGCACTCTGAAAAAAAAGAGATTGAAGAGGATATCAGAAAATGGAAAGGCATCCCTTGCTCCTGGGTAGAAAGATCTAACATAGTGAAAATGGCCATATTTCAAAAACTGCTATATAGATTAAATGCAATCCCAATTGAAATCCCAACAGTATATTTCAAAGAATTAGAGAAAAAATCCAAAAATTCATTTGGAACAAGAAGAGACCTAGGATAGCAAAAGCAAATCTAGGCAAAAAAGACATGACAGGGGGTATCACAATCCCTAACTTGAAACTATACTACAAGGCCACTGTGATAAAAACAGCATGATACTGGCAAAGAAATAGACACAATGATCAGCGAAATAGATTAGAAGTTTCAGACATAACTCCAGACATAGCCAGCCACCTCATCTTTGACAAACGAGCCAACTATCCTCACTGGAGGAAAGATAGCCTATTTAATAAACAGTGCTGGAAAAACTGGATTTCAACCTGCCACAGATTAAAACTAAATCCATATAGAGCTGGGGATTTGGCTCAGTGGTTCTGTGCCTGCCTAACAAGTGCAAGGTCCTGAGTTTGATTCCCAGTAGTAAACAAACAAACAAACAAACAAAAAACTAGACCCATATCTTTCACCACACACTAAACTAAAATCTAAGTGGATCAAAGATCTAAATATTAAAACAGAAACACTAAACTTGATGGAAGACAGGTTAGGTAGAATTCTTGAAGACACTGGCATAGGAAAAGACTTTATGAACAAATCCTCAGTAGCACAGGAGCTAAAAGAAAGAATCAACAACTGGGATCTTATCCTATTGATTCTTCACTTTTTTTTTTTTGGTACCAGGGATTGGACTCAGGACCTTGCACCTCAAGGCAGGCGGCAGAACCACTGAGCCAAATCCCCAGCCCTGGGATCTCAATCCATTAAAAGCTTCTACACTGCAAGACAAACCACCCAACAGAGCTAAGAGACAACCTACAATGTGGGAAAAAATTTACCAGCTGTTCCTCAAAGGACTACCATCTAGCATATATAAAGAACTTAAAAAAATAAGACCCCAAATTTAAAGACCCAATCCAAAACTGGGCATCTGAAATGAACAGACATCTCTCAGGCAAAGAAGTAAAAGCAGCAAATAAACACATGAAAAATGTTCAACATCACTGGTCATTCAAGAGACGTAGATGAAAACAATACTGAGATTACACTTCACTCCAGAAAGAATGGCTGCTATCAAGAAATTAACCAGTAAGAAATGCTGGTGGGGATGTAGGGAACCCTTCTCCATTATGGGTGGGAGTACAGCCTATTGCACAATGTGGGAATAAATATGGAGATACTTCAAAAAACTGGGATTAGAGGCCCTCTTTGACCCAGCTATTCCCCTGCTGGGTATCTTCCCAAAAGCATTCAAAGGATCATACCACGGTGACATATGTGCACCCATGGTTATAGTGGCACAGTGTGCAATAGATAAAACTTGGAAACAGCCCAAATACCCATCAACTGAAGAACGGATAAAGATGTGTTTTTTCTATAAAATGGAGTATGACTCAGCCATAAAGAATGAGCAACTAGAGTCATTTATAGCTAAATGAATGCACATTGAGGACATACTCAAGTGAAATAAATAGGTCACAGTGTAAATACTGAGTAGTTTTTCTGTGAGAAACCGAAAGTATAAATAAGAATCAAAATGTATAATAGATAATGTGAAACAGGAAAAAAAAGGTCAAAAGTAGAAGAGAAAGTTGGAAGAGTAGAGGAAAGGAAAGAAGGGGAAGGAATATGAGAAAAGGAAAAAACAGAAACTAAGTCTTTGTAAATAGGGAGGGTGGAGGGGTGGAAGGGAGGGCAGGGGAATGGGGGAAAAATAAGGACCAAGATATAATATGTAAAGGTACAATGAATGTCATCATATTGTATACCTAAAACGTACCAATAAACTTTAAAAAAAAGACTGAACTTAGAGTCACTAAACAGAAAAGATTTGCTTGGCATTTAAAAATAAGTTAAAAACAGATAGGAAACTATTAACTGATTATTAACTTAGTAAATAAATCAAGACCTCCCAAAGAGACTGTGTTATTAATAACTATCCTCTTTATGCTTTAATTGCTACACGATAGTTTTACTTATTTATGGAATACAGTGTGGTATTTTGACACATACGTAAAGTGTTTGATGATCAAATTAGGGTATTTAGCATATTCATCTTCTCAACATTTATTATTTCTCTGTGGTGGAACATTTAAAACCCTATCTTCTAGTATTTTGAACCATACTCTGTATAACAGTTAGCTATAGTAATACTTACCCTCGGGCACTAGGTTCCCAATAAGGTGCATATAACCCTGAAAATGCTGGGACAAAGTAGCAGCCATAAGAAGTACCAACTTCTTTAGCAAGTTTCTCTAATATTAAAAAAAGAAAAACAAAATTCACACTAATATTCTACTTTGTTAAATAAACATAACTATTTTCAAAATGAGTACAGGGTTTTTGGTTTCCAATTCAGTAGTATGAGAGATTGTTCCTAATTATAGTAGTATGCTAGGAGCAAAAGAAAACATTTCCCCTATGTTGGACATCCTTACTAAAATATAACCTAACTGAAGAAATCAAGAGACTGGATTCATTTCCTTAAGGTGTTTGAGCTTATTTCCCTTATTTTTAAGGTTGCTGATTAGTAGATGAAGAAACATCCTCTCATGAATGCCTAATCAAAAGTGTATTTCTGATTGTGTTACCTTCAGGCAATGGTAAACAAGTGTATGAAAGAGTGAATAGGTGAGTTCAAATTAATTATCCATAGACTGAATTCAGCCATATTTATACTTTTTTTTCTTGGTACCAGGGATCGAACTCAAGACCTTGCACTTGTGAAGCAGGTGGCAGAACCACTGAACCACTGAGCTAGATCCCCAGCCCAGCCATATTTATACTTAAATTCAATTAGAGGTACCAGACTTTTAATGCTCACTGTAATTTAGAAGTTAAAACTCCATCTCATCTGATAAAAGTAACTCAACTACTTTACCTGCAGATCTGGTCAATCTCTGGTGTTCAATTTTACAGTTGGGTGCCCTACCTTATCAGTCTATTATTAACCACTGTTAAGTATGTCAATTCACTGTTTAATAAATCTTCACAAAGTAGTCCTTTTGTATAAAGAAAACTTAAAATGGGGGGGGGCTCGGGATTTAGCTCAGTGGTTCTGCTGGTGCCTGCCTTGCAAGCTCAAGGTCTGGAGTACAAAAAAACAAAAACAAAAAAAACCCTTAAAATTGGGGCTTACATAATATATGGATCACATTTTTAGTGAAGCACAAGGATTTATAGATTGCAAAGTTAAATATCAAAATTTTTCATTCTTCAGATTTTTTGACCCTTTATTAAAACATACTCACCTATTTCCTCTGAGGTCTTAATAATTCCAAGATTGTCTCTTAGCCAACGAATAACAGCACCAGCTATGGCTACAGAACCCTAAGGGGGCGAAAAAAGAAATCAACTTTAGGACTCCCATAAAAATAATAAACTGAGTCTTCTAATATAAACATAGTTTTATCTAGGTCACTAATGGAAAGTTTTTCTGAGATAGGGAAAAAAGTAAGTCCTCCAGCCCACTCTTGTACGTATCTCTGTAGGTGGACATCAATCTTTTGAGCAATTTGATTCATATATACTTTTTTATCTGTTGCTAAGCTACCAAGGTATATGACCATCTAGAATATATTTGCATCTTATCCACAAAATTACTAGAACAAGCCACATTAGAATTTTCTTTGTGTGTTTTTTATGTCTAATAGCATAGAAAATCAAGCACAAAAAATATCAGAAGCTATCTCTTAAGAAATTATTCTTCACAACAAATCACCAAAGGTTGGAGGGGGTTATGGCTATAAGCATGAAAACATACAATTCAGAGTCAAAAGAACTGGATTTGAATCCTAGTTCTAGCACTTAATTGCTTTGTGATCTTAGGGAAATTACATAGGCTTTTTGTTGTTGTTTATTTTCTTGAGACAGGGTCTTGCTATGTAAACCAGACAAGGTTTGAACTTGCTACATAGCCCAGACTGATCTAGAACTTGCCTTGACTTTTCAAGTGCTAGGACTATAGGCATGCACCAAGTGTGGCTACTTAGGCTTTTTTGAGCTCCATTTCTTTACCTATAAAATGATGGTGATTATAACAATACTTACCTAAACAAACTACCATGAGGCTCAATATGAAAATACATAAGAAGGTTATTGTTGAATGTAAATATGTTCATCAATTTTTCTAAGTGTTAAAAAGTGTCAACGAAATTCCATCAACTGGGGAATGGATAAAAATGTGGCATATCCACACAATGGAATACTATTTGGCCCTGAAAAGGGATGAAGCACTGATGCATGCCAAAACATGGATAAGCCTTGGCAACATTACAGAGAGTGAAAGAAGCTGAGCACAAAACACCACATATAGTACTGTATGATTCCATTTATGAAGTGTCTCGAAAAGACAAATCCATGGACACAGAAAGTAGATGAGAGGTTGCTTAGATCTGGGGGGATGCAGTTATGGGGTTTCTCATTGGGTGAATAACAATATTCTAAATTGGTGGTAATAATTGTAAAAATCGGTGAATATACTAAAAACCGTTGATGTGTGCATTTTAAAAGGGTAAATGTAGTGGTATACGAATTATAACTCAATATAGCTATTATAAGAATCCTGAGGGCCGATGGAAATATTAGCACAGATCATCAGGAATTCCATTTTTTGCTCTGATTTTAAATATTTAGATAATTAATGTAAATCACTTCCACTGAGTCACCCCAAACCAAATATCTGGTAATAGTAAATGTAGGAACCAGCCACCAGTGTAACTGCATTACAAATGGTCACACTGGGCAGTGGTGCCGTGCCTGTCTTGCAAGCACAGGATCCTGAGTTCAATCCCCAGTACCGGAAAAAAAAAAAAAAAAGGTCATCCCATCTCCTTGTCAGATGTTAGGACATAAACTAGGGAGTGAATATAGTGACACATGCCATCATTCATAGCCTCTATGAGAAGTCACTATATATAACTGCAAAGCTGCAGAATGCCACCACTCTTTTCATTACACATGACATTTTTACTGTAAAAATTACGTGGGTAGCAGATTTCACATAATTTTGCAGATGTAGAAGGGACTGGGCTGGGGATGTAGCTTAGTGGTAGAGCACTTGCTTGGCTGTAGGAGGCCTTGGGTTCTACACCCAGCAATAGAAAAAGGGGAGGCTGAGGGACAGACAGAATAAATAATGGACTCGAACTCACCTCCCCTCCTTCCAAAAATTCTTAATATACATCCTAACTTTGACACATTTACATATTTAGGTACTTAGTGAGACCATGCAAGATAACTAAGTAAAATTTTCATTTAGAGACACTTCACTTTACTCTCAAATTTCCGTTTAAGCAGACAGGTAAGAGATAGCAGCTGCCAAATACTAGTAAATGTAAGTTTCTAGATCAGTGTTGTCCAATAAAAATATAATGGGAACCATATGTAATTTAAATTTTTGCCTCCTCTAAAAAATAAAACAGGTAAGATTACAACATATTTTATTTAACTTAATATGTTAAATTTGCATTTCAAAATATAGTCGATATTAAGGCTTTTGAGATGGTTTTTGTACTGTATCTTTGAAATCTGGTGTATATTCTGCCCTTCTAGCACATTTCCATGCAGACTAGCTACATTTCCGATCCCAATAGCCTCATGTAGCTAGTGGCTGCCATACTGAACAGAACAATTCTAGACCTAATTGGTAAAATAAATGTCTCTTTCCCTTATAGTCTCAAAAGACACTGTGCCTAAATGGCATCTAAGAAATGCTTGTATTTTCAATTATTTTAGATGACTAAAATTAATCTATGAGTTTTTTTTTAAAGCTAATGCGCTAGAAGTCCAGTCCAGCGTGGCTTTGTGTCTATCAGCCATCAGTACCTTATATCTTGGGAAACCAAGAGCTGATGTGCCTAATTTCCAATGGAAACAGTGGGATGCTAAATGCTTAGACAATTTTTAAAAAGAGGAAGCAATGTGGTTTTAGCAAAAGGAAAACCAAAATTTTGATTACAAGTTGACAACTGGGAGATATTATTCTGATTAAGTTGAAAAATATAAACACACTCCCAAGACTTCAGAAGCAAAAGATTTTTAAATTTGGTCATCAGGGGTACAGGTATTTTGTCATCACTGAAGAAATAGATTCAATATGAGAAAATAAAAGATGGATAAAAACACTTACCTAAAAGAAGTATATAATTTTGGTACAAGGATATAATATACTGTATGGTTTTACCTTTAAAGAAATTAATAAAAATGAGAGAAACCTCACAATTCATAAAAGCTATGTGGTCTTCTGAATTCAGAGGCAGATGATCAAATGGAAAATAGTATGATGCTTAGAAGCTGGACAGGAAGAGTGCAGAACAGAAACCTAAAATGATTTAAGAGGTGACTGTGTACTTGTTATCAATTAAGTTACCTCAAACTATACCCTAAATATAAAGTTCCAATATTTCAGTGCAGCACCTACAAAGATGAATCTTCCCTACTTCCAAGTCTTGACTCTGGAAATGTGCATGCAGGCCTAATAGTTATGCTCTAAAGAAGACACATGGTAAATAAGGATCAAAATGTGTAATAGATGATGTGAAATAGGAAGAAAAGATCCAAAGAGGAAGGGGAAGTGAGAGGGGTAGGCAAAAGTAAAGAAGGGAAAGGAATAAATATGAGAAAAGAAAAAAATGGAAACAAAGTCTTTGTAAATAGGGAGGGGTGCAGGGGTTGAAGGGAGGGCAGGAGAATGGGAAAAAATAAGAATCAAGATAGATTATGTAAAGGTGCAAATTCTCAATAATGAATGTCAACATATTGTATACCTAAAATGTACCAGTAAAACTGAATTTTTAAAAAGGATACAATGGAAGGGAGAGGGTAAGAGGAAGGATAAATTAAATGGTAACAGGGAGCCTGGAAATTGAAAAGCTAAGAAATAGGCTATGGGAAGACTGGACTAAAACTGACCAAGGAGAGCTGATGTAATTGTCATAACAGGCAAATGCACCCTTCCTCCAAAGCTCCTTGACACGAATGCCACTGCCACAAACAACAGTAAACACTCATGAGACTATTTCAGGGTGTAGTGGAGTTGCATCTTACAAGGCAGTTGGGGTTAATACTGATGAGTGTAGAGAAAATCATGTAAAATTAAGATTATTCTTTTTTTTTTTTTCGTACCTGGGATCAAACTTGGGATCTTGTGCTTTTTAGGCAGGCGGCAGAACCACTGAGCTAAATTCCCGGCCCAAGATTATTTTTAAATTACTTAAAATCATCCATTAGGTACAGTAAACACTTTTGTGTATACTACAGAACTATATAGACCTATATGTATATTTCATCTTGTATTTAATTTGTATATAATAGATTCCAAATACAAAGTCTAACTCCACGGCATTTTTAATGTCAGAGAAAAAGAGAACACACAAAGATATTTTTCACTGACTTCAATAACAAGTCAGAGAACTAAGATTAAAATGCGTTTCTTGGTCAGAAGGTGAATTTTTCAAGAAAGTACATTGTAAAGGTCTATAAACAATGTTTATAAACTACAGTAGCCAGTCTTCATTAAGGTGGTCTCATAATCCCTACCTTCTGGTGTTCACACCCATTTGTTTGTTTGTTTGTTTTTTTAGTACTGGGGATCGACCTCAGGACCTTGTGCTTGCAAGGCAGGCACAACACCACTGAGCTACATCTCTGGCCCTTCAAACCCATTTATGATCCCCAGCCCCTTGAGTATGGTGGGACCTCTGACTTGCTTCTAACCAACTGTGTACAACATCAAAGGTGACAGGATGCATGCAACAATGCATGTGTCACTGTGTTACCTTAGATCACTGCCGCTGCCTTTTCCCTCTCTAGCCAAGTTGAGCACTATGCAGCAAGGAATTGCAGGTGGCCTCTGGGAACTGACAGTGGCTTCCAGTTGATAGCTAGCAAGAAACTGAAATCTTTAGTCATACAACCTTACGGATTTGAATTCTGCCAATAGCCTGAGTGAGCTTGGAAACAAATGGAACCTCAGATCAGATCACAGCTTCAGCCAACACCTTACTGCAGCCTTGTGAGACTCTGTACCTAGACTCTACCCCAAAGGAACTAAGAGATGATAAATGTGTGATATTTTAAGCTATTTAAGTGTGTGGCACTATTTTTACACACCAATAAATGACTGCTGCACAGGCTTACAACTGAAATGCAAACTCTATCTCAAAAAGCATAAAAAATCAGATGACATAATCATAAATCGTATAGAAAAAGAGATGGGCAAAGAGACATTTAAAGAAACCAGTGGAGTGGCCGGGTATGGTGGCGCATGCCCGTAATCCCAGCACTCAGGAGGCTGAGGCAGGAGGATCACTGTGAGTTCGAGACCAGCC